AAAAAAAAAAAGTATTAACAGTACAGTATTTTAGGGTTGGATTTTTTTTGGAAAAATATACCAAAACAGGAGGTTAGCCAAACCCTCCCTGTCTCTTCATCAGCTTAAAACCAAAATTGCATCTAACATATGACATGACTTGCACAATTCTAAACAGTTGTGTAGCAAAGAGAAAACAAAGCTTCCAATTTCTAACTCAATGCGAATGTTGCATAGTCTTGTACTAAAACAACAGGAAATCATGCCAGCTTTGTGCACTGGGACAGGGTGGGTGGGGGTGGGGGAATAAAGAAAAACTGGAAGCAATCCGGACGAAGTATTTTGTCATTTTAAAAGGAAAAGGTACAGATTCACCTCAACTGAGCTAGTTAAAAAATGTGCGTAACAGGCAACCCTGCTTCCCGAAGCTTTAGAAGTTAGTTTGCGATAACTAAAAAGAGCAAGATTCCACATGAATTATTTCTCAGTAATCTAAGCAATTTCTATTAGAGATCAAGAAAAGTTCAAATTCTTTTCTATTTATGGCAGCAGAACAGCCAGCAGTGTTTTAGACAGACTCAACTAAATGTGTCAATAAATGAGGCTCTGGGGCTGAGTCACCTCAGCTGCCAACCTGAGTCATAATTTGAATGTCATTTTTGTCAGTCTTAATTCGAGCAAGCATTTCTTGTGCCACTCGAGGTAGCCATATATAGGCAAATCTTCAATGCAAGACCATTTATCCAATCATTTCACTCCCATTTTTTTTTTTTAAAAAAGAGCTTCCCTTCCTTCAAAATGTTCAGTTGAACTCTTGCCCCCAGTATATGCAAAAGAGAGCATTCATGCACAAGGAACTGGCTGGATCATGATCAATATGCAACCATTTCTTATAGAAGACATTTTGCATATTTTAAATACATTTACAGGAAGTCATGTTGTCAAAGAATAAGTATCCACACATTGCATCTCTATGGAAATCACTTGCAGCAGGAACTGGAAAGAAATACATAAGAACGAATTCTAAATATTTGTTTCAATAGATTATGATACAGTCAGATTTATACTCACTCTCCTGGCCATCATACAAATGATGTAACTAGATTGTTTGCTTATCCCACAGGCCAGTTGCCATTTTGGATCAGATGATCAGACTTCCTGAGTGTTTCTATATACAAAGTTGCCAATATTGGCAAATTGGTGCTCTCCAGGTAGATTAGCGCTCCCATGTTGTGATGACTGGACATGCAGGTAAGCTCACTGAATTCTAACAGAAAACACCTGAGAGGCTTCAAGATATAGTCATCAAGGAACCTATTATATTACAATCCTAGATTTGTCTGGAACAAATAGATAAAATCCCTTTTCCTAGTAGGTAAATAGCAGGAAAATGACACCTGCGTAGATGCTCCATAGAACGTGTATGTAATGTGTGACTGCTGCTTACTGACAGCATGGCAGCTGGAAAACTGATCACCACAACAGTCTTGCTATGTCCCTTGCCAAATGAAACAGAGAAATGCTATTCTCTTCCACTATCCTTAGGGAAAGTACACAGGCCATCTTCCTCCAGTGGAGGATTTTTCCCTCCAAATCATTTCCATAGACGGCAATTTCTCTTCTAATGGAGGGTTTTTCTCTAGTGGACCACTTTAGAATATAGGTGGGTCTCATGCTTGAATGCTCATTCAAATTCTACAGATGGAAAGTGTTCATAAGGAGAAGGCTAGAAAGAGAATGCTCTCCACATGAATGGAAATCAACTTCCTGCAACCCTGGAATATTTGATCAAGCGTTTTCAAGTTTGCATCTCATAGTTCTTGCTAAGAAAGCAGGAGGAGGGTGTTGAAGAGCTAGCTGTGCCTAATATAATAGTTGGATCACTTTAGGATTATGAATCACTCTGGTCTATTTTCAGTAATCTGATTAGAATTAGCATTAGACTTTTTTTTTCTATTTTGTTAAGAAAAAAAAAAATTCAAGAATTCGCACTTGATTCAACAGTTAACGCCCACTGTTACTTTGTTATACTAAGAAACACATATATAATGCTAGCAAGGTCACAAAAAGCTCAAAGGACAATGGGTTGAGTTCACTAAAAGCAGAAGATCATGAGGTATAAGAAAAGCTACCCATTCAGTAAATTTGTCAAGGTAGCAAAACCTTGTGTCTGTTGCATCATATTAATCCTATAAACACTACCTTAAAAATTGTAGCAAATATTCTACCTGCATATTTTAAAACAAAACAAAACATTTTCTTTTAGTCGTGATGCCATTCAGTGCCACAAAAAAAGGTCTGCTTTTGCCTCGACTGGATAAACAACATCCAATTAAATGTTGCTTAAAAGTTGATGTAGAGATCTTAAAAAGCTGTTTCCCTCTTTCTGTATCTCTTCCTTGATTTTTGTTACATTTAGAAACAAGGGGTATCAGATATCTTATTACAAACAATACCCACATCACTGTATTCCAAGAGATGACTTCTATAGCCCTGTTTTGTTTAGTTCTTTAAAAATCACAATCTACAACACTAATGGAATTAAAATACAACCATAGAAAGTCAGTAAGGCATCACTTTTAAAAAATCAGCACCCAAAGATAGCTGAAAAGGCTTGCATGGGTTTGTGTTTGTGTGCGTGTGTGTGCGCGTGTGTGTTGTTGAGAACCTCGGTTCTAGTTTGAGGTATAGCCTGAGACAGCTGACATAATATCAGCTATTGTTTTTTCAAATGACACCAGTTGGTGTCCACATTTTTGTGAATTTTCTCGTTTCCCAGCAGGAGCACCAAGCTGGCTTTACCACCACCACCCCATGAACGTTTCTTCTGTGCATTCAGAGATGAGGAAGATAAGGAGGTCCACAGAGTCATCATGTTCTCTTCTTAGCTATTAGTTTAAAAACAAATAAAAAAAGCTTTATAGAAAAAAACTTTCCTTTACTTCAAGTTAAGTAAAGACTTAAGACTTTACTTGGTTAAGTAAAATGAAGTAAAAATCTACCAATTTTTTTTTAAAAAAGAGGCAGTTTATTATTGTGAGAGATTCACTCATGTTCAGTCCCAATTTTTATATGATGGTTGAAGATAGCTATTTATCCACCTGTTCACATGCGATGACTCTGACAAGAAGATATTGATCCATATCTTCATATGAGATGATTCTCAAGCAATACCAAACTTTGCCCTAAGGAATTAGCAAAACAATCCTGTCTTTTCAGAGAGCTTTGAAGTTTGAACCTAAGGCACCATTTTCAGCCTTGCTGAGTGCTTGAATGAGAGGAGCCATTTTCTGACTCTTTCTCCCTTGCTGGGTAGCTTTTTTTTCCATTTTATAAAATATGTCTGACTGAAACGAATACAAGGAAAGAAATCCACACCAGTTCCTGAGCTGGAGGAGATTAACAGCCAATCTGGGAACTTGGAGGGCTTCAAATGCAATGGATCTGCAGCCCCGCTTGGTGTGCTTCCCTGCTCCACCTCCAGCGCAGTGCAGGCTATCCTTTCTAATAACATATTCCTACACAGGCCTTAGAGAATTTGTGGGGCGAGGAGCTTGGATTTTCTCTTTTTTCCTTTCAGAAAGGGAAAATGAAAGAGTGCCACGGTCCTGGGTATAGAAAAACATAAGATTGTATTCTTAAATACCAAATTTAACAGGCACCACACCTGTCATTCAAGTATTCTCTTTATATGTAGGATGTGCCTCCTAGATGCATTCTCCAAGTTATCATTTCTCCCTGGCTCCATGCAAATGCCTGCACATTCAGTGCAATCTCTGACAAAGGACATCCAGAGATAATTTCTGACTGCCATTTGAATATAAAGATGTTAGGGAGACAGGACCAGTAGGGCTTAGCATGCTAGGTGGGTAGCTGTTAGATGTGGTCCTCATTTACCCTTTGTGCAGAAAGGATGTCTGCAAAGGACAAGTAAAAACAGATGCCAAATATTTCCAAATATTAAAACAGCTAAATACCAGTAACCCCAAGAGACTTTACACTGCTCAATAAAATGGAAGCCTCTCATGTCTCAAAGCAAGCCATTTAGAAGAATGGAACTTTAGGAATAGATTGCTCTATGACATGAGGTCAAGGGGATGAAAGAGTAAGAAACTGTACTGCACAGTAGAAGAACGGAATAATCTTTTCAATCCAGAGAATTGTCGTTTCCAAGCTTTGTTGAACATTTGATATAATTATGGAATGATCCCAAAACCTGAATGAATGGTTTGAGGAAATGACACCCACATGTTATGTACTTGAGGCTGGTATCCACAGAATAGTTGGGAATCCAGGGACAGACAGACTGGTGCGTTGTTTTCACTTTTTACAAAGCACATCTTCTAGTTGCAGAGAAAAGCTGATATCCAGGTTTAAGAAGAAACTTGTCTCTTCAGCAGTAAGAATTCTGAAGCAAATATGAAAACAACTTTTAGCAGCTTGTTTTGGTCTTTCTTATACGTGTTGTTCCCATACTTTGGATCATGGCTAAAATACTCCATGATTGTTGCTTTAATTAACACTGGCAGCTTCAGAGTGATTTTAAAAGGATGTGCAGCTGCTGTGCTCAGAGGATTGAGCCCAATGCTTGGTTCTATATAAACAAGTGAAATAATAATAATAATAATAATAATAATAATAATAATAATAATAATAATAATAATAATA